ACTTGGATTTTTTAATTTTTTTATTTTATATCTTTTTGTAAAGAAAACAAAATTTTTTTTTCTTAATAGTCTTATGAACGTGGACTTGGCGCGATTTTTTTTACAGTGAAACTGTTTTTGTTCGGATTTATGGTTTTCATGAGTCACGACTATGCATAACATTTCAATTTTTATTTATTCTTTTTCATTCAGTATTATTTATAGCTCGTAATTAGATTTAACTCTTGTAATTTTAGATTTAATTAATTAGATTATTACTTGTAAGCTTTTTGGTTTATTTTGATTCAATAATAGTAAGGTCAATAAAGATATCTGTTTTTCCTAATTTTAGTCAATGTTCTTTTTATTATTGTAATTATGATAGCAATAAACTTAATCAACCAAAAAATTTTTTGTATTATTCTTCTCTATTCTGAAAAACTACAATTGTATAATAATTAATTATTAAAATTTATTATTTCAAAAAAAAAAAAAAATAATAAAAACTAAAAATTTCCCGAAAATGAAAAAAATTTTCAAACAACCACAACTCCGAAATTAACTAGCCGATTTTGCTCATTTTAAAACTTGATCTTGGTATTGATTCATAGAACAAACCCACAAAATATCATAAAGACCGGTTGAGAACTGTAGACGCATACATAATTACATGATTAAACTTTTCAACCAATGCTATTTATATTTTTCGGCATAACTTGATGAAATAAAATATATCACGTGACAAATGCCAAAAGGACGTATCCCAATCTATACGGCTTTTTGGCTTTAGAAACTTTTTTTTGTACACTCTTTTGGCTCAAAGCCCTATTTTCCTGTAGGAATACGCCTTTTTGGCATTTGTCACGCAATATTATAAAATTTCCTTTAAATTCCTAAATGAGACCATCTAAAATAGCTGGATTTATTTATAAATCTATCTGAAAATCATTTTAAATCATCGAGATTTTGACAATATTTATTACTTAGTATTATAAGATACAGTGTTTGACAATTGATTATACAGACGATTACATTTGATTTTTTATGTGAATATTTTACAGTGACAGCAGTTCTGTATTATTTACAATCAACATCATCTTCATTACTTATATGTATAATAATAATAATAATTATTATTATTATTATTACAATTATTGTATAACTTATCTTAATATTAAATATTTCAAATACTTATTTTTTATTGTTGTGCTGGATAAAATTTACAAAAGATCTGCAGTCAATATATATAATTATTAACGATGATAAACTCCATTCATTCAAACTTATAAATAATAATTTTTATTTACTAATATATATTTATTAATATTAATAATCTGCATTTCATTTACTATCAAATAATTACGATGGATACATTAATCACATGACAGTGTCGTTAAAATTTAAGTTAATCATTTTTTAATTTTATTAATTGGTAGTTCCTTAGAACATATTCTTCTTTCAATATATATTTATATTTTCAGTCTAATAATTTATCAGACAATTATTTACATGGACTATATATAAAGATTATTGATTATTATTTATTAAATTATTGACTTTACTGTACAAATTTATTTACTTACGCAATAGTACAATTTATAATATGAATAATTATTTTATAAATTAATCTTACTTGTTGCTTTTTACACGAATATAATTCAGTACTTTTTTAATAAATATAATTCCGTCAGTGTTAGTTCAAATAAAATATAACATACTTGTGTTAATAATAGTTTTAATAAAAACACTTTTACAGTGAGCGTATTTTGTATGATCATAAAATTAACCGTGTGCAATAACATTTATGTAACGCATTGCACGCCTAATAATTTAATAATTTATCTTTTGTTGATATTTTATATTTTACTACGAACAATCAGTCAATTTAAAATGATCCGCTATGTAATGTAATCATTTAATTATTTTAAATTAATTTTATTTCAATAGTTATGTAATTATAATTTAGATTAAAGTAAAACTTTTTTTTTATTAGCGTTTTGGAATTTTTTGGAAAAAATATTATTTTTGGTTAAAAATCAGAATAGTTGTTAAAAAAAAATTAATAGTGCGAAAAAAAAATAATTATTATAAATATTTTTGTTTTTTACTATTTTTACTTTAAATAAGAATTTCGTATAATAATAATAATAATAATAATAATAATAATAATAATAATAAGAATTTTTTTTAGGAAGAAAAATATTTTTTTTTTTTACGCGGAGAACAAAATATGTTAAATTTACAGTTTTACTGCTGTCAACACATCATTATTGAATTTAATTTGCTAGAAATGTAATTTTTACATTATAAAAATTTTAAATCTTAACATTTGAATTTTGCATGGAGAAAAATGTAAATTTTGCATTAGAAAAAATGATGAATTTACGAGACAAAAAATTTTGATACACGAAAAAAAAATTTATAGGAAAAATTACAATTGTCACATCGTAATTAAGGACCAAATTTTCAATGTGGTTATATAGATATTTTTTTATTTTTAAATTTAAGATATTACATCGTAAAAATGCTTATAAAGTAGTAAATATCCGAATTTTTACGATGGATACTTAATAAATTTAGAAATGTAAAATTATCGAAGTGACCGTATTGATAGTCTGGTCTTGGATTATGGATGAGACTGTTGTAATTTTTCCTACAATTTTTTTAGGTGTACTTCATTAAAACATTTGTAAATTTCACATTGAAAAAAATTCATGAAAACTACCCGTGTAAATTTTTATTAAGATTTTTTTAAGACGCTTCGTTATAATTTATAATGTTCCATAGCTCTGTCACTGTAAGCTCATCTTAAAATAATCTAAAAAAATTTTTAAAGACTGTTTTAAAATGAGCTCCCAGCAACAAAGCTCCAGAATATTAAAACGAAGCGTTTTAAAAAAGTCTTAAAATTGTCAAATAATTTTTCAACGATTTCAAAATGAATTTTAAAACAGCGTACTTAAAAATCTTGCAGTTAAAAACTTGCAAAATCGTCTAAAAATTAAATTTCATAACAAATTTGAGAACGAAATTTCAAAAACCTGCTCTCAAAATTATATTTTGACGTCTTTAAATAGTCTTGGTTTGTGTCATGTTTAAGATCTTAAACAAAAATCTTTTTTAAGACTCTTTTAAGATGAATTTTTTCTTACACAGGTTTATAATAATTATAATGGCTAAAATTCTTATTTAATTTAAAATAATAATTATATAAAATTTTTTTTTCGGGGTATATAATTTTTATTGATCTATTTCTGTAAATTTAATAATTTTTTCGTTTGTAAATAATATTATTTAACTGTGTAAATTTAACAGTATTTTTTGAAATTTAATCAAATCTTCAATTTTTTACTTTATATTATTATCCTAAATTTTTAAAAATTATAGTAAAAAAAAAATATCCAAAATTTGTGTTCCATTAATCTGCATGAAACAATATTGATTAGATCGGTCAATAAATATATTACCCTACGTATAAAAGTAATATAAATGAATAGAAAAAAAATGTATAGTCCGTGATTGGTTTGATTGTAGAAAAAAAGTAAATCCCATGGCATTGGAGTTACCTTTGCGTTTTCTTCTTTTTTTATCCGCGATCGTTCGACTAAAGTTTCAACTGGTAATGTCCCAGTAGCACAATTCCATGATATTTCCCAGGAGGACTTGGGTAAGGAAAAGAACGAAAATAGAACAAAAGTATAAAACAAAATGACGAAGAAGAAAGACGGGAGTGTAGGGTGGTACAGAGTGAGATTACCTGGGAAAGAGTGTCGAGATAGAGAGGAAGTAGTTGAATTGAGTGAGAGGATTCCAGACTAAGAGAAAGATAAAGAAAATAAATCAACATCCTTGGAGAAATGATGAGAGCTCTGGGAATTTCTTATGGAGCTTTAATGAAGTGCAAGCTAGATATATAAATGTTTCTACTCGTTCAGATATTCTCCTCGTGATTCTTTCATTTTCTTCCAATGACGATTTAAATAGTAATGAAGATTCGTTTATTTTAGCTCGACAACGGTAATTTATTTCTTTAATTTATCCTCAATTTTTATTTTTCTCTTATTTTATGATATGTTAAAAATAAAATTTTTAAACAATTATTTCGGTTCGTATTTTTTAAGATTAAGGACTTTAATAAAAAAAAAAAAAAAAAAAAAAAAATATTGCTTATAATTGAGATGAGAAAATATTAAATTTTTAATATTTTTTACCAGCGCCAGGAGACGAACCCGAGCGTTCCAGTTAAAAATATTAAACTGGTATCAAAAACTCGTTTAAAAATTTTAATATCATAAATAATAATAAATTAGAATTATTAATGTCCTTAATCCATTTAAAAATAAGATAAATTACATTTAATGCTAATTATAAATTTCTATTAGGATGACCTCTGCACAATTAACTTTCTTAGTAATATATTTATAATAACAATCAGTGAAATATAAAATAATAAAACGAAAAAAAATCATGCGAAGGTCCTCCTATTATATAATGGACTTTTTTTTTCTCTACAACTACAATTATTTTATACAAATAATTATTTAGTTTTAATTATTTAAAGATAGTCCTTCTAAACGCAACATTCTTAGGGTACAATTTATTTATTAATATTTAATAATGTTAGTTATTGTTCTTGAGCACAAGATTTTTAGATTTAATTACTTTTATTACAATCCGGCAGTTTTTAAATGACAACATTAAATTTCATGCTCTATATAATCAATTAAAATTTTTTCTATTACCGAATAAATATTTTTATTAACCGGAGTACTTAGTGAAGTATTAAAAAATTTTAATCACACCTAGCTACTGACAATATGAGTATAAATGTTTGATTAATGTAAGAGTTAATAATTATTTTATTTTCAATTATAAAATGTTCAAATTTTTTTTTTAAACTGGAAGTTTAATTCTTAAGATAAATTTCAGACTTTAAAATTATTTATATTAAAAAAAAAAAAAAAAAAAATTGAAAAATCCTCCATAAGTGCAACACAATTTTTTTAAAAATTAAAATTTTACATCTCGGTATTTTCTTCGGCTTCTTCATCGACCTCGGGGAGAGTATAGACAGCGGATCCAACAATATGGTCCTCGAGTTTAATGATAGGCTTGCAGTCTCTAGTAACGTCGACTTGATTATACGAGTCTCTTAAAATATTCATTTCATTTTCGTGGGCGAAAATACTGGCTGGCTGCTCATTGCACAGCGACTCGTCAGTGGTGTTCCTATTGTTGCTAAAGTTACTTGATGGAAATTGTCACGACGTGAGGGCAAACGGATCTGTCGCTAACTCGTCGATGCTTGAACTCGGCTTAACAGATTCGCTTTTATCGTTTTGGTGAGCTAACCGATGGACTATTTCATCGTGAAGTATGTTGAAGCACATTGCCGTCAATGCCATTCCAGACATTATGTAGCAGGAGCAAAACCATAAGGTTAAATTTTTTGAATCGACTGTATTGTGTCGGAGATACAGGCCAGGTACCATGTCGCCAAATCCTATTGTACTCAAGCTCATAAAGCAGAAGTAACTTGCATCTGTAAAAAATTTTATTTTATCAATATTTTTTTGATTAAAAAAAATTATTTGACTGAATAAAAATATTTTTTTGGACAAATTTTAATAATGCTTCGGAATATTCAGCTCTTTAAATTTAAAACTTCACTTTTTAATCAGTAAATGATAAATTTTTAATGAACAAGTAAATTCTTTAGTGTTTTACTCTATTGAAGCGCTTTATGGTCTTTAAATTTACAATTATAAAAAATTTAACTTCATTAAAAATAAAAATGTTTGAGTCAAGAAAAAAATTTAATTATCTCAATTTGAGCAGAAGAATTCTTGATCTAATTATTATTACTTGGTTCAAAATTTTTTTCTTAGGTCAAATAAATTTTTTTTCATCAGTGTATGATAGGATGTACCAAAATTCAACTTCCGTGATGGACCTCTTAAAATTGGAATTTTGAGTTCCGCTTTTAACAGGAGTTGTGTTTGGGTATTTCCTGAGATATTTTGAGTGTAAGCGATTTATTTGATTTTTATAGAATTTTTTAACAGGAGTTTTGTTTGGCCAAATTTTGAAATTTCAGCAAAAATGCCTAAACAAAGCTCTTGTTAAAAAATTCTATGAAAATCAAATAAATCCCTTACCCTCAAAATATCTCAGGAAATGCTCAAACACAACTCCTGTTAAAAGTGGAACTCAAAATTCTAATTTTAAAAGGTCCATCACGGAAGTTGAATTTTGGTACACCCTAGTGTATAATTTTACCGAAAATTTTTTCTTGTTCAAAAAAATAGCGCTAGAGAATTTCTTAAATTTTCTCTGCAAAAAAAGTCTTATACTTTTTTTTTGACTTGGTTAAAAATTTAGTTTTTTTACAAATTTGATTTTTTTTGGTATTGATAAAATTTTTACTAAAGAAACTAATACTTGAAAGAAAAACATAAAATTGCTATTAAAAATCTATTTTTTTTGTTAAGTATAAAAATTGATAAAAAATTTATTAATATAATTTGACTCATAGTTTAGATAATTATTGGCAAAATTCCCCAACAATTTTAATAAAAAAAAAAAAAAAAAAAATACAAATTGCACACCCCAAAAAGCACCTAAAATTTTCGTACGAAATAATTAAATTTCAGACTTAAAATTATCCAAAAATTTAACTTGCGATAATATTTAAAAATGTAAAAATAAAAATAAAAAATGTTTAAAAGTAAATGAAAGCTAATTGTGTAAACTTTAATATAAATCTATCAGATTTAAACTGTCAAAACAAAGTAACTGCTTTACTGTAATAAGCCTGGTCATAAACTTGACGAAGTATTAACAAAGTTTATTTACCTAAAAAACTCCAGCCCTCCAATTTGTACAGAGTAAAAGCCCCGGCGACAATATAACAAAGCATTGCTCCAAGACAAATGCTGATTGGAGCGAAAATAGTAACATTAGGTCTGTCGCCGGAGCCGAGACTTGACACTTCATCCTTTGGACTGGCTTTTATTTCCACAGAACTCGGATAATTCGAAGCATTAGCTCGCACATAAAAGGGTTCCTGGAGAGCCAATTGTTGTTGTTGCTGCTGGTTCATTTCTTCTTGCTGTCGCTTCTTCCTCATTCTCCGTTCCTTTTCCTTCGAACAGATCACGACTCTCGTTAAAAATAAGTCCTTCGTTATTATTTTATAGAAGAAAAGTCAAGTCATAACTGATAATCATTAAATGGTAAATAGAACTTTGATGTGAAATAAAAAATAATTGTTGGAAAGTAAATTGACTATTGGAAAGAATTGAATTATATCTTCAGCTCACCTGCATCCGTCTTTCATCGTAACAGCAGTAACCGCAATTCGAGCAGAGACAGCAGCACAAAGCTCGTGTGAAAACACCTCGAGCGCAACGAGATAACAACCCACCTGCACTTGATAGGTAGACCAATGTCAAAGGAATTCCTAACGCAGCATACCCCATTGTTGCTATTTTACCCCACATTGATCTTGGGGCGATACTTCCGTACCCTATTACAGACAATTGTTAGGTTATTCAATAAAAAAGTTATTATTTATTTAGGATTTATTTTATTAAATATAATAAATGAATTAACTTGATTCAAGGCAATAAATCTTGAAACTCAAAATCAATTTTTAGAGAATCATTTATTGTCTAAAATTAGCTTAAAAATTTTTTTAGTTAAGAAATTTTTTTTTTTAATAATTTATTTTTTTTATCAGCGCACATGGAGAGAACAAAATGACACTGTATATCATCCCAGATTATACTGAATGAAAAAAATTTCAGATAGAAGATAATATAATTCAGATTACAATGAGTATAATCTAGTTATCACAGTATAATCTGGATTTTTCTAGCTACTATCTAAAAATTTTTTCACCACATATATCACTGAGTATAATCTGGGATGATATCCAGTGTCATCTTGTTCTTTCCGTGTACAGTTAAAGAAAATTTGCCTGTAAAAAATTAATTTGATTAAAAAAAAAATTTAGAACCGTGAAAAACATTTTAAATAGTTTCACAGGTTCGAATAAAAAAAAAAATGCAACTATACAATTTTTCTAACTTTAAATTTAAATTTTATTTTAATTAAAAAATTTGTTTAATTAAAGACAAAAAAATTTTTTAAAATTAGTATTTTTGGTCCAAGATTTGTTTTTTAGAATCAACTTAATTTTTAAACAGTGTATATGTAAAGTAATAATCTTTGAGCTTATGAAGAACATTTAATGATTATAATTATAATTAAATGATATGATGATAATGAAATGACTTATTTCATAGCTGAAATAGTGGAAACTTATAACTTTTATAAATATTTTACTTGTTTGTATCTTTTAAAAATTTTTTATGGAGAATATTATTAAAAATATTTAATGGATTAAATTAAAAAAACAAATATGAAAAGATTTATGAGACAAAAAAATGAAAAAGAAAAAAATTCAATATTTTTAATTAAAAATAAATTATCGAGATATTGAAACTACACTCGCTTTTTAAAATAAAATAAAAATGTTAATACTTTTAACTACCCCATAAAATTAAATAACTTGATTATTACTTAGTGACAATGAATGGTTAAAAAAAGTTCAAAATAAAAGATAAATTTATGTAGCATTAAAAAGTTAACACGATGTTATCCGTTAAATCAAATCGTGAAAAATAAAAACATATAATACACTTGTAATCGATATAGTAAAGTAAAGAAACAAATCAAATTATCAACCTATGATAACATCACGTATAAACTATTTGCAACGGTCGTAATAGTTAGATTGATGTAGTAAATCGTAATGCTGATTACATGCTGGATATAAAGATGAAAAATTTAAAAAGTCTTGTTTCAGTTTTTCTCGCTCGAGTCATGTTATTATTTTTCAATGTTGCCCCAGAGATTTTATTTAAGCACTTTTTTCATTTTTTTTATTTTTATTGAAATTATCCATCTTGCTCGTTCGGTGAGTTATGATTTTTTTTAATGTTATTGCTGTTGTTTACTTGAATATTCTATTTTAATCCGTGAAGTGTTATTTTTTATTATATTTCTTTTTTTGAATAAAATAAAATTATTTTTTTCCAGAGAAACAATCCTTCTCTGTTGAGATTAAAACGAGAGTTAGTAAGTAGTATTAAATTAATATTATACAGTATCCACTCTTATAATTTAGATGAAAAATATGAAAATATACATTGATGAAGACATTTTATTCGTAACGTGATTGGTCAAACATATCATAAGCATGAAAATATAGATAATTCCATACCAACATTCACACGCGCGCTTGCGCGCGCAACGTATACTAATTCATTTAATTTTTTTATTCTTTTTTTTATGAAAATTTTAATTTAAATTCGGATGATTGGTTTTAGTTCTTTAGTCAAAAGATTTTTTTTAATTTTGGACTGTTTCGTCTTTTATCGTCTAAAAAAAATAGTAATTTCGAATGATCTATAAATTTGTGATTGAATTTTTTTATCCCATTCCAGGGTTATGAAGATTATAAGGGTCACAAATCAGACGAAAAAAACGCTGTCAGCGCACCATTTCGACGGACATCGGATAATTATTTCAACGCAACAAACATTGAAAATGTATTTATAAAAAAAAAATAAAAAAAAAAGATACACTTATCGAATAATAACTAAATAATAATTTTCTAAAATTTTTCAGAGAAACTACAGTAGTTCTTTAGCAAGATTGAAACGTGAATTAGTGAGTAATCTAAATTTAATATTTTTGACTTCTTTTTATTAAAAAAATTCGGAAAATTTTTTTTAATTCTTTATCAGATTTTGAATGTTTAGTTTTGGCTATGAGTGTTAAAAAAAAATGAATATTCAGGTTCATCATTATTTGAATCTATTTTCAAGTTTTATTTTTATCTCATTCCAGGGCTATGAAGATTATAAAGGACACAAGTCAGACGAGAAAAATGCCGTTAGTGCGCCATTTCGACGGGCATCGGATAGTTATTCCATTGGAAAAAATATTGAAAATGTATTTATAACCAAAATTAAAAAAAAAGAATACACTTCTACTATATATAATTATAAAATTATCATTGTTTATAAGATACTTAATCATTATCAAAGTCAATATTATATTTTAGATATAATTATATTTTACTGAATTTTTCAGAGAAACAACAGTGAAGCTTTGTCGAGATTAAAACGAGAATTAGTAAGTAATAGACTACGCAGTAAAAAATTTTGCGTCATTGCGTCAAATTATAAATGTATTCTGTTAAATCAACACAAAAAAGCTTTAAATATTTGATATAAAAATTTTAACACAAAATTTTGTGATGGAATGACGCAAAATTTTTTACTGTGTAAAATTTAGACTCAAATTATAATAATATACTATTAAATCAATTTTAATATTATAATATATTAATAGGGTTACGAAGATTACAAAGGACACAAGTCTGACGATGAGCGAAATGCTGTCAGTGCGCCATTTCGACGGTCATCTAATAATTATTTTGCCAGAAAAAACATTGAAAATGTATAAAAATACAAAGTAGCATTTATTTTTCTTTTCAAATTTTTCTTATAGTCGTTTTTAATTTCTCAAGTCCATTTTCGCTTTAATTTTTTCAAATAATTCGTTTTTTATTTTTCAGAGAAACAACAGCGAGGCTTTGTTGAGGTTAAAAAGAGAACTAGTAAGTAACACCTAAACCAAAAATCTAATTGTCATACTCAGCTGTTTGCTTATTACCTTCACCTAGGGTTATAACGACTACAGGGGATACTATTCAGCGGAAATGAACGCAGTCAGCGCGCCATTCCGGCACTCAGCACGCAGAAACAGTAACAGGAATATAAACATAAACACCAACAAAAACGTGTTTATAAAAACAGGAAATTTTTTCCAAGCCGAGCGCGACAAGTTAAAGCTCGACAGGATCGACAGCGGGCCGCTGAAAATTACATTAGAAAAGCTGCACGCAGCGGACATAATACGCGATAATGTGATTTTTGTAATGGGGTTCATGCTGCAGCTGCCTCCCGGAACTTTATCAATCGAAGAGTACACGTCACTCGAGTTAATCTGCAATGCGATAAAGCGCAAAAGTGTGTACATGTACGAATCAGTGAAGTTAATCCGCGAGGGCAACAACAAATCAATACTAGACCAACTTTTGATGTTTTTCAAGACTATCAAGAACCAGGTTGTCTTTTTTATGAAGTCTTCGGTCGAATTTTGGATCGATCTGCTCAAACACAAGCGGAACAGGGCCATACAAAATCACCTTGACCATAATACGTTCAATTTGATCGCCGGGATACCCAAACAAATGATAGATTCGGTTGCGAACATGGAGAACCAGGATATATCGAAGGAATTGGTAGCGAAGATGATGAAAGAGCCAAGAAATGAGTTGGCCAAGTACGAAATTACTGGAGAAATTATGGGCCCCGTTTACGTGGAATTGTTTTACGGGTTGACCTCCAAAATGATACCATTTACGCAAGAATTATTCGGGAATATTTTGCGCGATTTACCTAACGAAGACGCAGATCCTATTTTCGATGAATACATCGCATTTGTTTCCCGTGAAATGTGGCAGAACACGATCAGCAAATGGCCGACTTACTTCACGAAAATAATTGCCTACGATCCTTACCGACTGGTGATAAGCACAGTCGATAAAATAGCCGCCGATAAGGATGTCCCCTATAAACTGAAAAAAGCGCTACTGTACATTCGCGATCATTTGATAACTGGCGGTCGTGGACTGATAAATCATGAATCAGAAAATTCATATCGTATTACAGAAAATGGATTGAATGTTAATTTATTATTCGAATCAACAATAACTTGTGACTGCAGTAATCGTATTATAGATATGAGAGATAAATTACAGAAATATTTGGGGTCTAATTTGGACCAAGATATTTTTGTAGGTATTAATCGTTACAGATATACTAATCCTCATGATTTAATGCTTGGATTTTTGGCGCGTTTGCAAATGCGGTCATCCACGGAAGTTGTTGACAAAAAAATATCACGAATAATATCAATACTACTCTCTTATTTGTTTTACCAACGCAATGTTCACTATTATCACAAGTTCAAATCTAATATATCATTTTGGATGATTGTTGACGTTATTGATAATCCGATTGCCAATTCGACGATATCGCAAACAATAGAATCCATTTTGACGGATTTGATGAATGACCTTAAAACTTGGGACCGCATTGAGCCAATTGTTATGCAGTCTGTCGTCAATACCAACAAGACTCATTTAGAGTGTACCACTTTGGATATGCTGACAAAATTGAAAGAAATAGCCGAAGAGAAGCACTTGTTTGCTCACTTGCCAGCCAAGATTGACAAGTTGATCAACGATGTTAGGAATTCATTCACGGAATATGATTCGTTTGAAGATGAAGACGAGTTGGAAGGGAAGTCGGCGTCGGTGAAGCCATCCAGACGGGCGTTGCTGACTTCTGACGACACCGAGGAAGAGCAATCGGAGGAAATAAAGAAAAATCTTAAACCTACTAAACCTAGCAAAGGAGGAAAACTGAAGAAACTAAAAAAGCGTGTAGGCCCTATGGTAAAGGAACTAAAAACAATGCTCAAGCCAGCTAAAAAATTCTTAAAAAAAAAACTGATCTCCAAAATCGCAGAGTCCCGCGTTGATTTGTCAAGTGGATTACCAGCTCGACGATCATTAGGTAGACTGGGATTGTCAATCGGTAAGTCATTAGCTGGATTACGACACCGAAATTCAAAATGGAGAGTTCCAATTAACCCGTTAAATTCAATGATTTCATCAGTTAACCAACCGTTCGCCACAAAATTTCCAGCTTTGCCGCCAATCGCCTCGTTATCAAAGAACATATCAACATTGCCACCCGCAGTTCAGCCGAATGAGTGTATTGTAATTACCACTAATGTAGGAACGGTTAAAATTTTGCCGACTGTGTTTACGCGGTCAAACGGATTGACGGGAGATCCTGATACTCTGGTGCTCCCATCAATGGTTGACCTCGATGAGCAGCCTGGACAAGACCTCCTGGAGCATGTTTCAGGACAGTGTGTCCAACACCTTCGACAAATGATCATCCAGCCTCTGATTAACGTTTTTGGCGAAAACTACGCTGAGGTTCTTTTGGGGAAATTTTGGGCCAACAAGTACTCCACCAGAATGGCTGCCTTGGTCGCCTTGATGAGGACTGCTCAGCAGGTTGAACAGGTCGCGGAGGATACCAATTTGATGGGGAACATCAGAAATGTATTGGCTTCTCTTGAAATCATAGCACCGTACTTGTTCCTGCCACTGCTGATTCACTCGAAGAACTTCAATGGTAAGATTGTTTGGTCGACTGTCAGCACCAAGGATCTGTCGGTGAGCATCCTTGGACGAGATATGCCGGATTATGAGGATGAGGGGACTATCACTGTGCCTTTGCTGAATCCTGCGTTCTGGTTGCTTCCGGTTGAGCAAAATTTGGACCCGTTTCAGAGCTTGCTGCCTCATTTTGAAGAAGCGAGCAGGTATGCTGAAGAATTGAAGCCGCTTTTGGATGTTTTTGAGTTAAGAAAAGTGACAGCTTTGATTGGACATGATATCGATCTTTCGCGTTTTCCCAGCAGAGGCGCTTTGTTTGTTTGGACTTTGTTCCAGCTGATGAGTGTTGAGGAAGTAAGGATGCAACCTCCGCTTTTGAGAGCCATCCAAATGCACTGGAAGGCCATTCAGCAGCCGGCTTTCAGCATCAGGATACCGCGAGATGTCATTCTAGGGGAAACTCGGGAGAAATATAGAAATTGGGCTGTTGATCTGGTTGGACTCATGGGAGCTTTACCCAGTCCAGCGGATCCGCAACAAGAGAAGCTGTGGACTGCATTAAGGAATTACTTGTCACGCAGCAATTTGCTGGAGGAATTGAGTATTCCCTCGCCTCCTTTACACGCTACTAAAGCTCGGTTTCTGAATAAAATTATTGAGCGGTCATTGAAGAGCCATGATAGTGGGGTGAAAGTTGACGCTCAGACTAGAGCGGCTTTGCTATTTTATAGGGACAAAATAATGGTTGATAGAGAGGGTGCGAGACAGGTCGGGTGGATTTGGAGCCAAAAATTTACTGGTGACATGCTTACGGAACATGATGACAGTAATTTGCATATTGGGGAAATGATGGAACAGTATTTGCCGTACTATAAAATGAGTAGGGAGAAACAAAGGGCTTATAATGACCTGGTAGAGCATTTATATATGAAGCCCCACCTGCTGGACTTGAAGGATGACTTTTTGGTGAAAAATTACCATACGAAGGGGAGCTTTGTTCGTGGAGTTCTGGAATACATCGCGGCGAATCCGAAAGTGAGCTCTGAGATAAAGCGTGATATTTTGATGCTTTTACCAGAAGTTTTGGTTGATGGAAGAAATGATAAGCATTTGTTTGATAAATAATTGTTAAGTTATTTATTTTGGTTAATAAATTATGTTTACAATTTTTGAGAGATTACCATTTTTATAATTTATATAATTTCTATTTAAAACTTTTTAATAATTTGTTAATTAAACATCGAACCATAAGGATTAAAAATCAATCAGTTTTTATTGGATTTAATGAAATTTTTTAAGTATTGATAGAAAAGCTGAAGTATAAATTCAATTAAAATTTTATATTATTAAGTTCTCATATCTAATATTTAATTACTTATATCAACCTAATTCTTCAAAAAGTTAATGATATTTAAAATACCATCAAACATAATGCCATCTAGTTTTTGGTCCCCGAATTAAAACTGAGAAAAAATTCTTGTAAATTTCGGTAGAGTTAGTTTTTGTATCATTCGAGGAACTCGCGCGGTTAAATAGGTATCGTACTAACCTTCATACTTCAATGTGAAAATTCTTACGAAAAATCAATTCAAAAACAGTAATTTTTGTGGTAATTGTATTTATTTATTTTTTAATGAAAAAAACTTTATGGATTTTGTCATATTCAATGTAATTTTTTTTCATTAATATTTTCAATATAATTTCAAATTTAAATAACGGATTAGTTAATTCATCCTTGGAATAATAAAATTCAAAGTCTGTTAAGAAATATTAATTCAAATGGTAATATTGAGATTTCAATAACAAATAAATAGAATTTATCATTCAAATGTTGAAATCGGAAGTTTATTCATAAAATAAAAAATATACTTATTAAAATAGTAAAAATTACCACGAACGTGTAATTGACTCGTAACTACTATATAAATTAATAAAAAAATAATATTCGTTATTTTCCGTATGTATAATCATAAAGTTCATTCATAAAAGTTAAATTTTACAAATAAATTTTTATTTATTTTTTTTTTTTAGCATAACTTTAATAAAAGATTTTATTTTACAAAATAAAACAAAAATATCTTCGAAATTAATTATAGATCAACATTAATTCCTCATGTAAAGCACATACTATTTTTAACTAAAATAAATTGCTCTTCAATTAAATAAAAATTTATTTAACCTCCACTAAATGATTTAACAATTGGTCCCTTTCTATGTCTCATCACAATATTGCTCAATTTAAAAATCCTCGTTCAAGATCGACCATTCCCGAGTTAATTTACTCCAACGTTCATAAACGTCATTCGATTCATGAAACATCAGACATACCAGGCCTGATACGAAGGTCACGCGGTGTTTTCTCGCTCTTTTTTGTCGTCTCACTTTCTCTCCAGCGATTTAGTATTCCCCGCCAGGTTATTGTACCACTATAAACACGTGTTATATCTCTCCGAAGAACAGCCGACGATACCCGAGTTCAGTTTGCTCTCGACCGCCACTAAACTTGCGTCACTCCACGTAATTGTATTCGGTTATTTCATAAATTAGCTCGCTCTTAATTAATAATTAAAGTTCAATTAATCGTTTTAAAAAATAATCGGATTACTGAAAAGTAAGTGCTTCTATTTACGACTAAAACATTTATAAAAATTTTAATAATAACTTCGTTGACACACCATTAAAATATAATACATGTGACACACTTTTATTTGAATAAATTATAACTGATATAATTAAATTTAATTTTTTCAGATAATTTCACTTGCTACCATAATAAAAAGGTAATAATTATTTTTTTCAATTCACAAAATTCACCATAAAATTTTATCTGACCAGTTAATCACTTTTCCGCATTCTTTAACAGGTTATTATGCGTGCGTAATAACTGCGTATCGAGCCTGCGCATTAATTAATCCTTTGGAGTTCTATTTTACGCAAGTGGACGGACCATTTTGTTTTAAGCAAAAATGAGTCAGAAAAAACTTGAGCTAAGTAACTTAAGAAATGAAATGATCAAATTTTACATCGAAGCGCATAACATGTGGCCTGACATGAGATTCAGCTACAATTTGACAATAGAAGACTGGACATTTCTTCACACAGCAGTGGACCAATCTGACGAAGAACTAGTAGACTATCTTCTGCAGAAAAAAGCTGACCCTAATATTAACGTAAAAATTTACGGAACTCCTCTTCATCTTGCGATAAAAAAAGGAAGTTTGGAGATCATACAACTGTTACTAAAAAACGGCGCGGATATGAATTTACGGGGTGACATAAGCGACAATTTAACGGCGATTGAATATGCAGTTCAGCTTGACAATTTTGAAGCGTACGCAATTTTGGCAAGTTCTGAGGCGAGTAAGAAGAAATTAATGGAGCTGGAGCCATCGTTGATGTGCATTGCCCTGAAACACAACAGCAAAAAAATTGTCGAGGCGTATTTGAACGAAAATGTGGACGTTAATTATCGGTCTAAGGATTATGGATCGTATCTTCACTGCGCAGTTCACGGCGGAAATCCGGAAACAATTGAACGGCTGCTGGATTACGGGGCAGAGATAAATTACTCGTGTAATTATAATAATGGTACGGGCTTGTGGGACTCTTGTGATTTGACGGCATTACAAATCGGTGTTATTTTTAATAAATCGGGGATTGTTAAATTATTGACAAAGAGGCATGCTAATGTGAATCTAAAGGCAGATAATGATACTGCGGCTTTGGGATTAGCTATTTCGATGACATGCCATGATGACGTTATTAATGATCTTCTGAACGCTGGGGCTGATATCGATGACGTTGATTTATCTAAATACGTAGGACGGGATTCTATTAAAAAGCTGATTGAAAAACACGCTGTTAAATTGGATGTTGCTCAATTAGGTGTCAGTGAAAAATACGCTAAAGCTATAGCGAGTGATTTGACTTTTAGGAGTGAGTGTAAAAAGGAAATTGAAATTATGAAGGACACTAGAGTAGGGGATAGTAATGTTAAATTTTATGATCTGTTGAGGAAGAATATTCACCAATTGGCATTGTATGCGAAATATGGTGTTGTTAAACTGGAAGTTCTTGAGCAACAGTCGGTTGAACAGTTTGCGCTGTATGCTGGAATTTTGTGCAGTAGATTTTGGAAAGGTGTTGAAAGGAAAAATTTGATTGACGGAGTTGAAGAGTTTGTTTATGATGTTTTTTATGTTTTGCCAAATACTGTCGTGAGAAATTTGTTTTATTATTTGGAGGATAGAGATTTGGATATTTTGAAAAATAATTTGTAATTACAGTCAATCAGCTTTGGTTTTGCAAAGACTGTTTTAATTTCATTTTTAAATCAAAGTTGTTAAAGAGATTATTCATATATATATATATATATATATTTTATATAATTATACTACATTTATAGGATTTTTATTAATTATAACAAGTAAAAATTTTTCTAAGATAGTTTTTATTAGATTTAAGTGTTTTTATATATTTGTCATACAAATTAACTGATTTCAATGATATTGTGGTGATTAATTAAAGTTTTATAATTATTAAAATGTAATTAAGTTTTAAAGTCAACCAGCCAAGCAGTTTGTATATTTATAAGAACAAAAAAAAATATATATTTTTTTTATAACTTTTCTAGTAAAAATAAAATCTCTATTAATAGTATATTACATACCTAGGCCAGTAAAATAAGAAAAGTCTCAGATCACATGTAATTGTTGGTCGAGGCGAAGCCGAGGTTGACAAACATGTGATCTGAGGCTTTACTTTTTACTGGCCAAGGTGTGTATACTATTTTTCTGCTCGACGTAGCCGGAATGTGGCAACTTTGTTTAGCGCAGTGGCCAGAAAGTTGCCACTTTCCGGCCGGAGGGCAGAAAACAATTTTTTTTATTAAAAATTAAAAAATTTATGTATTTTATTTTAAAAAATTCAGAAAAAAAATGATTTTTTTTTTTTAAGTTTAAACTGTCTCATATTTCGATACGAAGAAGAATGTTAAGTTTTTCCATTAAAAATGTGATTAAATAATTCTGTTATTTTTCTTGCATTTTATAAACAGAATTAGAGCAACACATTGATAGCGTTCTACGCTTTAAAAATTATTGAGATGGTGTGAAGGCTATTTCCTTTTTCAATATCAACATGTGTTCAGTATTTAGTGACTAACAGCGGCGAGTCTTGTGTATACGAAGGAAAGCATATTTACGACTTTGAAATTATTTTCGAGTCGTAGAATATTATATATATCTATTTTTACAGTTATTGCGTAAAAAAACATGTTTTTAAAATTGTTTTCGACAAAAACTTTATATTTTTGTATTCAGATATTATGAAATATATAATCAACAATAATCAAAAATATAAATATATACAAAAGATAAAAATATTTGTTACATACCTACGGACTATCTTGAGTGGTATATATCTATTTGATAAGAATAATAATGATAACGTTACACTATAGATTTTTATTACTACAAAATTGTATTAACTTTATTTATAAATTGAAACTTAAATATTTTAAGTGAGAAAACCTTCCATCTGTCTTACTCACATAATTGTGCACATAAAAAATTTTTAATTTTCGATTCTCTAGATAGAATATTATATATTTTAGTTCCTAAACAAGTTATAGATGCTCAATTTATTCAACTGACCTCACTTTTTTAAATATTTAACTTCTTTCTATCAAATTAATAATTATTTTTTTAAAATAATTGTATCAAAACTATATTTTATTCGAAAACGTAAATTTGAAGCAATCTTTCGCGCACAGAACAAAACAATTACAATCGGACCCTTAATTTCTTTTTTTAATCACAAAATTAATCCTACCAACTTATAGTTTAATTAAAAAAAATTTTTTAACGTGTATTTTTAATAAATATAATTTTTTTAATCAATTTAATATTCGTTGTTCTACAAAATGACTACAGTTTGGACTAAAGCGACCGTTCATACTATTCATTAGACTTAAAAATTCTAGAACTACTATATTTAGTATTTAAACAATTTTGAAGCTATGCTTTGCGCACAAATCATAAAAATTAGAACCTTAATTTTTCTGTCATTACAAAATTAGTTCTAGTTTTTACTAAATCTTTGAATCAATATTTATGTATCTATTTCTCTATTTATCTGTTCAATAAATATTATTTCTTAAACCAATTTAATTTTTTTAAAGTATAACATATCAAAATATATATTATGAGTTCAATATAATGTCTGCATTATCGGCAGGAAAAACAACAATGGTAAGTACAGTGCAAGAACTCAGAAAACACAATGTAGCGCCATCTAGCGTCTCTCGAGCGAAGACGATAAGTAGGTATTATAAGGCCCGAGACGCCCCACTCTAGCAAAAAAACCTCCACACTCTCATCAGAACACTGACTCACCGACAAGAAGATCATACTCAGTCATACGGCAGTTTTAGTTTGAACTTTTTGGTAATTAGTCGCCATAGTTGTTGTTCAAAATAATTTTAGATCGATAGTGAGCATAAAAATACGAATTCGCATTATTGCAAAAGAGTCATTCGTTATTCTCAATTATAATTTCACTAGTGTTGATTTAATTTGAAACCTTATTATTTTCCGATAGAAATATTTATAACTGATGAATTCACTCAAGCACGTGGTGAGTAATAGGCTAATTGTATTACTTTATTTCCATTGATCTTAAATAATAACAACCGATTATCTTTTAGCTGTCACCAACAGCGTTCACAATAAACGCTCGAGACTATCTTATATATGACCCTGAGCGAAGCACTATCGTCCTTCAACTTCATTCTGCAGATAATGTTCAAGTGAGCGTGGGTCCTGCTCAAATAGCAAGCGACCTGTCGGAAGAAAGGTTATTTGACAACGCGATTCTTGAGATGACACGTTTATTAAGCAATATAACTCAAGGTGATAGAGAAAAAATTAAGAGCGAAATAGAAAAGATCAAATTTTTCGACTTGAGCGATAAATCTGAAGAAGAACTACATGAATATATAAGATGTCAGGAGAATTGGTGGAAAAATATAAAATATAAATACTTTTATTATGGGCCAGTTCATCTAGCAGCAAGATTCGGAGACTTGGATCTAATGAAAAATATCATGGCAGAGACGTTGCCATGTCGTTCGTTGTACCAAGGTAAAATATACTCTACTGTAGTTTTTAGCGAAACGGAATTGGAGAGTGCCATCAGGAGTGACAATGTTGATCTCGTAATATATTTGATTCAACATCGCGGGTATTTCAGTGGCGACAACGAGGGTGATTCATTGATATTTCTGATATTGGTCCACGCTTTCAGATTTAAAAGCAATAAGATTATCAAGGCTTCTCTCAATAAATATGACGTCAATCACGTGTCCCCGATCTATGGATCGCTTATCAACTCCGCAGTTTACAATGGCGACTTGGATTTTATCCAGCAACTTTTGGATTTGGGTGCTTACATAAACTCTTTGATAATTTATCCAGAAAGATTCAGATGGTTCTATGGGGCCTTGACACCTTTGCAGACTGCAATTGCGTTAAAAAAAGCCGATATTGTCAAACTGTTGATACGCAATGGTGCTAATGTCGATGACTTGAAACCAGGTCTGAACTATCAAATGACTACCCTTCGATATGCCATGAATATGAATGCTTCGAGAGATATCATTGCCGCTCTTCTTGATGCTGGAGCTGATGTTTTTTGCTTTTGCGGTGATTATGTTCTGCCGTTCTATTACGAGCATAGATCTAAGTTATTCACAAAATTGTTGAAGGAAATGGCAGTCAAATTAGACACTGTTGGGTTCAATCTGGCCAAAACTAATAAAATAAAACGAATTCTTAAAGATAAAAAGTTAGATCGCTTTAAATGGGAGTGCTTTGAGGAAGTTAAAAGGATGGACAAAACTCAAATTGAAACTACCAACATTACGTATTATGAGTTGCTGACTAGAGATGTCTATGAATTAGCAATAGATGATCAGTATGCTGTCTTACAGTCTGCAGTTTTTAATAAGGATTTAGAAGGGCAGTTTCCGTTGTACGCTGGTATTATTCAGGCACGCTTTAAAAATGTTGTTAAAACAAAGAAGAATCTGCCAAAGTATGAGGATTTTATATTAAATCTTTTTCCTGATGCTTCGATTGATTTAATTGATGAATTACTACCAGTTGTTTGCGAGGAAGACTTGGAGAAGGAGTTTAATTCAAGAGTGCATTTGGCGATCCGGCTCCAGCAAATAGTTAATTCAATGAACTTTTAATCGGCGGTAAATTATATTGCAATAAATGAAGATCTAGAATAACAGTTTCTATTGTACGCTAGTATTTGCCAGATTTTTAGAATTTTATGTAGTATTTTTCCTAATTTTTTGATTCCTTCAATCAATAAATTAATACCTTTTGTCTGCCAAGAAAGCTTAGAGGCGTTCAAATCGAAAGGGCGTTTTGTATTCCAGGACATGTTAATTAATTTGACGAACTTTTAATCAGTGATAAATTATATTGAAACAAATTTTAACATTTTGTTAGTAATATAAATTGCGATGGATTTCTAAATTTAATTCTTCAAATTTGAAACTATTTTCCTCTGAATTTAGTAACAAAGCATTATATATCAATTTGGTAATTTAAAACTTTAGTATTATAAGTTACGGTGATTATAATTATATTTATTTTAGGTGAAACTGTACTTGTTTTAAAACTGAATTGTATAAATAAACTACTTAAGGATTATAATTAGACTTGCTCCTTCTGATAATTGTAAAATAATCTTTAACCAAGAATTCTTAGCTATTAATCGATTTAATCAAACACCCAAATGACATTGATTAGAAATTGTGTCCGTTTAAACGGCCTTTAAAATCACATAAATTAATTAATATCATTTATTCTTTTCTTACATAACTATTTTCAGTGACTTAGTAGAACAATAGTTATCAAAGTCAAACTACATCAGTGATATTTCTTTTTTTTTAAGTTTACTTCCTGTATTCAATTCTGTGCTTTATTAAATGATTTCACAAATTCTTACGATGTTTTTAATAAATTTAATCCTAACTAATGCTTATAGGTGTCATGAAAAAATCCACGTTCCTGACAAATATACCTTGTCTTTTAAAATGACTACAGTTTGGACTACAGCAACCGTTCATACTATTCAATAAACTTACAAATCCTGGAACTACTTTATTTAGAATTTAAACATAATTTTGAAGCTATGCTTTGCGCACAAATCATAAAAATTAGAACCTTAATTTTTCTGTCATTACAAAATTAGTTCTAGTTTTTACTAAATCTTTGAATCAATATTTATGTATTTATTTCTTTATTTATATGTTTAATAAATATTTTTTTAACTAATTTAATTTTATTAAAGTATAGGATATCAAAATATATATTATGAGTTCAATATAATGTCTGCATTATCGGCAGGTAAAACAACAATGGTAAGTATAGAGCCAGAACTCAGAAAACACGACGTAGCGCCATCTAGCGTCTCTCGAGCGAAGACGTTAGTAGGTATGATAAGGCCCAAGACGCCCCACTCTAGCAAAAAAAACCTCCACACTCTCATCAGAACACTGACTCACCGACAAGAAGATCATACTTAGTACACAGCAGTTTTAGTTTGAACTTTTTGGTAATTAGTCGCCATAGTTGTTGCTCAAAATAATTTTAGATCCATAGTGAGCATAAAAATATAAATTCGCATTATTTCAAAATAATCATTCGTAATTCTCAATTAAAATTTCACTAGTGTTGATTTAATTTGAAACTTTATTATTTTCCGATAGAAATATTTATAACTGAAGAATTTACTCAAGCACGTGGTGAGTCATAGCCTAATTGTCTTACTTTATTTCCATTGATCCTAAATAATAACAACCGATTATCTTCCAGTTATCACCAACACCGTTAACAATGAACGTTCGACAATATATTTTCGAAGAACCTAATACCACCTTCGTACGATTCGCTGATGCAGCTAATTATGTTCACCCAAATAAAAAGTTTAACAGTCGAACCTTTGATAAGGCTATCATTGAGTTACTAATAAAGCTCAACGTAAAGGTCGATGAACCATTAACTGAAGATTTATTAGATGATTTTATGGAACATGGCCTTGTTATTGACATCAGTAATGAATCGGAGGAAAATATAGATGAATTTATAAGGCATACGGCTCACCACGATACAATTTTAAAATGTAAAGCCTCCTTTTATAAACCACTTCATCTAGCAGCGGAAAAAGGTGACTTCCAGCTAGTAAAAAATTTAGCAGCAGCAGGTGCAAATCTTTTTCAATCACTATCTCCTTTGGGTTATGGAGAAACGCCGTTGGAAAGTGCTATTAGAGGTGATAATCCTGAAATAGTCAAGTATTTGATTGATCGTGGTGTGAACTTTCGTAACACTAAAGAGGAGGATGATTTGGTGTTTTTGGTGCTAGTTTACGCTTTCAGATTCAAAAGCAGGAAGGTCATTAATGCTTATTTAACCGAAGATACGGACGTCAGGTACGTGTCCTGGTCTTACGGATCGCTCATACACTGCGCAATTTACAATGGTGACTTGGATCTTATCCAGCGGCTTTTGGATTTGGGAGCTTACGTAAATTCTTTGAGCATTTATTCGGAAAAGTTCAAATGGTTCCATGGGACCTTGACACCTTTGCAGACTGCCATCGCGATCAAAAGAGTCGATATTGTTAAACTGCTGATACGCAATGGTGCTAATGTTGATCATTGGCTACCAGATCTGCACGATCATAAGTCTACCCTTCAATTTGCTGTGGATATAAATGCTCCTAATGATATGATTGTTGCGCTCCTTGATGCTGGGGCTGATGTCTTTAATCACTGGGGTGATTATATTCTGCCGTTCAATTACAAGCATAGACATCCTTCATTTACAAACATATTGAAGAAAATGGCTGTCAAATTGGACACTGTTGGGTACAATCTTTTAAAAACTAACAAAGTAGAACGAATTCTTAAGGATAAAAAGTTAGATCAGTTCAAACGGGAGTGCTTTGAAGAAGTTAAAAGGATGGACAGTACTCAAATTAAAACTACCAGTGTCACGTACTATGAGTTGCTGACCAGACATGTTCATGACTTAGCAAGAGATGAGCATTATGATGTTTTAAAGTCTGTGGTTTTAAATGAAGATCTAGAAAAGCAGTTTCCGTTGTACGCTGGTATTATCCAGACACGCTTTAAAAGTGCTGTTGAAACAAGAGCACATTTGCCAGATTTTGAGAATTTGATGTTAAGTATTTTTCCTAATGCTTCAATTCCTTTAATCAACAAATTAATACCTTTTATCTGCGAAGAAGGCTTGGAGGCGTTCAAATCGAAAGGGCGTTTTGTATTCCAGGACATGTTTAATTTGCCGAACTTTTGATCGGTGATACATTATATTGAAATAAAGCGCAATATTTTGTTCGATGAATTTCAGAATTTAATTCTTGAAATTTGAAACTATTTTTCTCTATATTTTGTAACAAAGCATTAGATATCAATTTGGTGATTTAAAACTTTAGTATTATAAATTACGGTGATTATAATTATATTTATTTTCGGTAAAACTGTACTTGATTTAAAACTGAATTATTTAAATAAATTACTTAAGGATTATAATTAGACTTGTTCCTTCTAAGAATTGTATAATAATCTTTAACTAAGAATTCCTAGCTATCAATAGATTTAATCAAACACCCGAATGACATTGATTAGAAATTGTGTCAGTTTAAACGGCCGTTAAAATCACATAAATTAATTCATGTCATTTATGTTTTTCTTACATAACTATTTGCAGTGACTTAATAGAACAATATTTCTCAAAGTTAAACAACATCAGCAATGTTAATTTTTTTGTGTTTACTCTTTATGTTGAATCCTGTAAGTTTCTAAATAATTTTACCAATAATCACAATAATAATAATAATAATAATAATAATAATAATAATAATAATAATAATAATAATAATAATAATAATAATAATAATAATAATAATAATAATAATTTACTTTNTAATAATAATAATAATAATAATAATAATAATAATAATAATAATAATAATAATAATAAATTTTCTTTTAAATAGTACTTAAAGGTGACGTCACAGAAATCCACATTCCTGACAACGTACGTTGGTCTGCAAAATGATCACAATTTGGGCCACACTGGGTACACATACTACGGATCAGACCAACAAATTCCAGATCTAAAGTTATCAACATGTCAGTATTTAGACTTGAACATTACTACCTGTGATTCGAACTACAAAACACTGAAAAACCGAGCAGGCGCGCTGATAGTCCGAGCATGGGTTGCAGTGACCCTGAGAAATAACATCCTATCCTTCGTAAGTTACCTATTGCACCAATTGAAAGAAAAGTTCAGCGAAGATGTCGATACTAGTTTGTTCGTTATTTATGATGAATTACGGAAGAATCACATTCGCACAATGGATTTTTTACCGAAACTAAAAGGCATTTCCAAGCTAGACAAGGGAACCCAATTGGTAGCGTTATTCAAGAATCTGCAAGAGGTGATGCAGCCGTTTTGCAAAAGTGAACTGGAGTTACTGGCAAGGACAATGTACAAGATGAGAACCAACGGCAATAGGGCCGATAACAATATTTTTGCCTATAACAAAAATGGCACGAAGATAAAGTATCATGAGATAGACATGTTCACAGATATAGGCTACCAAACGATGCTCCTTTTACAATCTAAGACAGTTTATAAGCCTGCTAAGAAAGATTATGAAGTCAATAGTTCATTTGGCAGGGAATTTTCTGCACTCTTTCATCTGATCAAAAACGGAAAGATTCTTTTAACTCAACCAGTCTTGGCAGCATTGACAGCAAATATGAAATTTGTAGACCTTACACCTGTCCAAATTGAGGAGCTGAGGTTCCTGATCGACGTACTGAGAGGCAACAAAATAAAAAATTGGTCTCCAGAGTTGATTGGATCAGCACATATGAGGAATCCGCACATTTTAATTGATAACATGTTCCGATCTCTGGCGAATAACAATGACGTAGATCCGCTGGTAAGTGATATAGCCGCTGGTTTGCAGGGCAAGTTGCAAAGAACTCACAGATCCTACATGACGAAAGTGATGGAGCCGTTTTTTGGCGAAGAAGAACTTAACATTACTTTAGTATTCAAGGTGATGCGCGAGAATGTGCAGAATGAAAGCAGTGTGGATTTGTTGAAAAAGTTGTTCGATGACAGGACTATCAACGTTTTTTACGCTATGAAAGGCTTCGTAAGATATTACTTCAATACGCCGGTGAAGTTGGTGATGGGATTTCTGAGACGGTTGCAATTGAGGGTGCCAATTAATAACGAGATCATGGATTTGATCAGTGGTATTATTAATGAACTCTCGAATTCTAGTGCCGCGCATTCTAAAGATTGTTCTCGTTGCCAAAAAGACAATCAAGATGGTGGTTATTATCAACAGGATGATGGAAAGAAAGATAGTTCCCAAAAAAGTGAAGATAACAATCGTCCAAAGGAAGATGATGGAAAGAATGATAGCTCTCAAAAAGATGATGATGGAAAGGAAGATAGCTCTCAAAAAGATGATAATAGTAATCATCCAAAAGATGATGGTGAGAAGAAAGATAGCTCTCAAGAAGGTAAAAATGATAGTAATGATCCACAGGATAGTGAAGGAAAGAAAGTTCACCAAAAAAATCGCACGCAAAAAGAAAGTGAAGATTCTAGTGACTATCAAAGCTTTGATGATGAAAAAGGAGACGAAACAAAATTGGATAACATAAGCAGGCGGCAATTATATAGAATTAAAAATGAGCTGATCAAACCTAGATTGCCTATTATTAACAAAGTCTGCAATCGTTACAATGAATTGACGACTCCATCGTTTCGTTTCAATGTTATGGGAAATCTAACCAGCAATTGCCTGGAACCGGCAATGCCTCCGATGAACTGGTTCCTAAATATTGATCAGCCAGCCTATAATTTTGTCTTGAAACCTCTGATAGCCCAGGCCAGTACGTTTTTGAGCGAGTTCATTGACGAGAATGATGAAATAGGTCAGTTTATTGAAGATGTGCTCATCAACGTAACGCAAGGTGCTTCTAGGAGAGTTATTTCGCAGGCTGTAAATTATTCTGGGTCGGTACGCCAACTGTTGACAGTTTTGTTTAAGAAGATGATCAACGTCAACAAAGTACGCGCGAGGAGTTTGATTTATTTTGAGGTGATAAAGATATATTGCAGGTTGATAAACGACCATGATAATCGAAATCACGCTTTTGATGCACTACTGTTCAAATTGGATGATCCCGTACGAAACAACTCGATTGATCAGTTCAAAAGTGTTGTGAGTTTTTCTCTGCAGAAGGTGATTGACGGCTACAATGTTTCAAGTCATTCGGCGATTTTTTGGAACAATTACACGACAAATCGGCAACTGATTAGTGATTTGTGTCGGGTCTACCTAACGCACAGAGATGTCGTTGCGAATGATCGTTTGTTCAATGAAGTGGTCTTTATTTTGCACTCTGTTTATCATGTTCCGGTGAGATTTGCAGACCTGCTGAGTATTTACACAGCGAAAACGGTATACGAAATAAGTAATTTAAATTTGGCACAAGATTTGTTGATGAAGCCCAACATGAGCCAGATGCTGGGCGATGATTTTGATTTGGGCAGGTATCCCACCAAGGGTGCTATGCTAAAAGCTGTCTTTATAAAGCTGAGAAATCAAGATATTGTCAGGAAGAATGTCACGCTTTTGATTTCAGTGGAATCGCAGCTCAGGAAGATAACTTGCGATGGTCACTGGATGGAATCTTCTGAGGAGATTCTAGCAGAAGCTGTGACTGATCAGGTTGATCTTGACAAGGTTTTTGACTTAGGACTTGATCAGCAGAAGCTTTCGCCCGTGGTCAAAAATGCTTTTCTTAACATGTGGAATTGGTATGGCGGGATTTTCAATCCGATAAATTTTATAAAGAGGATGAATGTCAGTGAGTATGATACGAGGTCAGCGTTTATTCAAGGATTTTTGAATAGTATCACTCAGATTGTTGCTGATGACTATGTGAAAGTTATTGAGGATGTTAAGCTCATGCGATCGGCTGTTTTGGAATCTGGAAATGGCTTAGATCCAATTGACGTTTTATAGATTATGTGGATTTTAACTTTTATATTATGTATATTTTAATAGTTATAATTATAGTATAAAATATATTTTTTTGATATTGTCAAAATAAACAATGTAATAAATTAATCCGATTGGATAATTAATTTATTTTTTCAAACATTTCAATGCTTTTGTAATCAAAGTCAATCGTTTTGAAGTTTTGAATTAAAATTGATTGAATTGTTTGAGAATTATCATTTTTGAATAATGAAAATCTTCGATTGTATCAAACTCGGTTAAAATCTAGTGATTTAAAAAATAGCAGAAGTTCAAAATTGGGAAAACTATTTTTTTAAATTGTATAATTGATGGATTCGTCAAATTATATCATTTTTGATTCTCTAAAAATTAATAAATCCTTTAAACAAGATAAAACTAAATAATTTGTTTAAATATTGTTTTTTCTAATTGTACGATTGATCAATTTTTGAAGTTATATCATTTTTGGTTTTTTAAAAATTGTGTTGAATATTAAAAGCTGAATCGATATTAAATAGCTTGTTCACAAATACTAAATTTCAAAAATTCTGAAAGAATAATTTTCCAAAATCACTTTCAAACAGTACAACTGATCATTTCTAAAAAAAATGATTTTTTTTATCATAATTTTCTGATTCTTTCGATCAGAAATGTATCAAAAGCCTTTTTTTTCGTTTGATAAGCTAAAACTTTAGGTAGACATATTTCCAAAAAATAACTAATATAAAATACTGTCTAAATTTAAAAATTCGGCAAAACAAGCGAAATAATCGATACATTTAAATATGTCTAATTATAAAAATTGCATTGCAGAAATTACAACTGGATACTTCTTCCAAACTATATTAATGTTCACTATTAAATTATTTGAGATGTAATTTTTAGTTATCTCTTATCTTTTATCAAAAGTCAACAAAACTTCCACCACCCTTCAGAATTTCAGGATAGCTTTCGGATGCAAAGCTAATAAAAAAAAAAGTGAACAAATATAAATATTGTCGGACTTAATGAAAGTAAACTAATCTAAATAACAAATTTAGTCCTGAATTTTTGAATATTGATTATCAAATATTGACACGATTCTTCCAAGCGCAATTCTATTATACGATATCGGATTTTTTCATTACAAAAAAAGAAATAAAAAATTACAAGAAGAAATTAATTATATCAAATCAGTGTACTAAATTACTAGCTTAAAACATTTTCGAAAAAATACTCTTGTACAGTAAATGCAATTATTGTTACTATATTTCACGTTTTCAGCCCATTAGCACAGAAAATAATCTACCAAGCTACAGCATATCCCGAAATACTTGAAGAGTGTGAAAATTACGGGATATCCGATTCTTAGGTCATTAAGTATAACAACGGCGACAAAATTGCAGACACTCTCGACTCAACTTGTTACTTTATTCAGCTCTTGAGTAAAATTACATTTTGGGTAATATAGTGCTTATGATACTTAGCGAATAAACTACACTTGTCAATTCGAAATACTCGAGAGTACTGACATAAATCGGGTGAATAGCACGCACTAATGAATTAATTGTTGTATCTGTAGATCTGTATCTACCAGAATACATAGATCGCGTCAAATAGTCACCCAGTTAACCCAAAATATTGAGAGTGGTGGCCAAGCATTGAAAATCGTTCATTTGTATAATTGAATTATTTTTTTTTGTTTCTAAAACCTCTTTTGATTAAAACGAGCGCTTTAATTCATTTACATCTGGCATGTTCTCCGGTACGATGTTTGCCAGCTCTTGCGCGACTAATCCATTTTATTCCAAACTGTCGATTTGCGTGACTAAAAGGATATTTAACTGCACGTTTATTTTTTATTATTATTGATCTTTATTTTATCTATTTTTAATAAAACACTGTAGAAAGTCGGAAGTTCCTTTTTTGTACCGTCATTAGGACTAATGGAGTGAAGAAATAATACACTGCGTACGAGCTAAATCTTGAGCTTTTTTCAACGTAGTGAGTATAAATTTTAATCCGAAAAAGCTCGCAAGAAAAAATTTTGGTCGGACAACACAAGAAATAAATATGTTAGCAGGGATAATAAGTCATGTGTTATGATGAGAAAGTCTAGCTTATAATAAGTAATTTATATGTTAAAATAACAAAACAATGTTATTATTTATATTGAGCACAATTTTGTAGTTAATTCAACAAAATATTGTAGTTTAATGAACAACTCTAATTGTTAAAATAACAAGACAATGTCAGAATAACAAAAATGTTTTGTTGGTTCAACATAAATTGGTCAGTTAGTATAAAAAATGTTTTCGTTGAACTAGAAAAATTACTTTGTTTAAATAACCAATAATTCTGTGAGCAAAATTTTCATAAAAAATATTTTTCCAGGACAGTAATTAAATTTTTAAGCTCTTAAGCAATTTCTGAGCAATTTTTGAAGTTGTATTACGACTTTGAAAAGCTACAAACTTTGTAATAGAGAAATTTTTGAGCGTTTTGAATTTGAATATGACAGGAAGCTTGAGGAATAGCCTGCAGAGTGATCCATATTCAAGATTTTTTAATTGTTATAAGTTATAATCATAAAAAAAAAATTGTAACTTATAAATTAAATGATAATTTTGGAAAAAAGCTTCTAAGAATTTTACTATTTTTGGCAGCAAAATTATTTTTTTATGACAATAAAAATTACTTTATTACAGCTTGACTTAGTTAGAATTAAACTGATTTTATTACGGAAACTAATTTTCCAGTTATAGTGTCTTTTTTTATTTTAAAAAATTGTTTTTGCACTAAAGTAAATTTTCACTGAGCTGAGATGAGTTTTACATGTCAAATTACTAATAAACACTTTATCTAAGTTTTAAGTTTGTAAAAATTAATCATATTTTTAGAGTTTGCATTTCTTAAAATTATCTTTCTTAGTCAAATTATTTCAAGGTAATAAGATTTTTTCTAGGCTACAATAAGTAAATCTTCAGCCTAAAAAGATATTTCTTCATTGAAGAAGTTTATTACTGGAATTGGTGCAATAAAGATGTGACACATAAAAAAGATTTAGAGACTTAAAAAAATGATAATAAGTCAAAACAAAAAATATACAATAATAAAGTATAAAATAGCGAAAAAGATGAAAGACAATTATTTATTTTGGTTGACCGTAATTTAGTGCATTTCCGTGAGCACGAGGCAAACTGCCCGGAAAACGAGGAAAAATTACTCGGTGAAAAATAACAGGAAGTGTTGTGCTGAACAATTCAATGTTTTTATTTATTTATAGTTATTATTTATTTTTTTTGTTGATACCTTTTTCATTTTTTAGTTGTTTTATCTGTCCTACAACACATGTATCATATGAATAAATAACTTATGTATTATCTCATCCGAGCATCATATTCATACATATTTATATATCAGTAAATATACATGATCAAATTTTCACTTTATGATTATTTAATACATGAACAAGTACACATAACGTCATCCAAAAAAATATATATAAATGAAAGTCATAAATTTTAGATGCATGTAATAAATTTCAATTCATTATTTTTACTCGCTGAATTAATTCGTGCATACATTAGGGTGTGCCAAAAAATCAAACGTTTTTTGCTATTAAATTCTGTTACAGTCGTTGTTTGTTGTAATTTTTAGTGAGTCAATAAAAATATTTCAAGCATACTAAATTTTGTTTTAAATTATTTATTTCAAAAAGCACACTGTTGAAACAAAACAAGATTGTTGAGCTTATCAAATTTTTTTTTTTTTTTTTAATTGAGTCATTTCTTTTTTTACATAAAATAGACTTTTTAATGGTTTAATATATGGATTTTTAACATTATTTAAGTTATGAGAAATTGTAAAATAAAAAAAGCAACTTAATATTATTTATTGTACACTATAAGTATAAATTGAAAAAATAATATTAATAAGATAATTACAAAGAATTAATTTTATTTATATCATTTATTATTTATTTTATTTATTTCATCACACTTTTGTTAATATTAAAATTAACACAAAAAATTTACAAAATAATGAAGAAAATTAGATAATTAATATCAAATTGTTTGTATTACTGGGATATTTAATTAAAATCAGAAATAATTTGCCGCACAAGGACAAGGGACGATCGTGTATTTAGAAGATAGCTCTAGTGAATATTGTATGTGTGGGTGTATGTGGAATGGATGTACTTTATATGAATTCCATTCAAGTCCTTTAGAATAGCTCGCAAAATGAGCAGAACAAAAGAGAGAAGAGATGGTATGTTATGTAATTGAATATACGTTTTGTGTACCTAGACCGTAATAACCAACATAATAGTGATAGTAATAGTATATCTAGGAACTATACATGGAGACAAGCTGTTTTTAGTTAATAATATTCTTATACTTATTTACGTTAATCCGTTCTATAGTAGATTTATGAATAAATTCCATCGTTAAGTTTATAAGCAGTATTAAGCTTCAATTTTAAGTCAACGACACGGCTTTTAAGCTATTTTAATTATGTTTTTGATTACAAATGTGTCAAGAGCTATTAAATATTCTTGGAAGGATTATTTTTTTTTGATTACGATCTAAGTGCAAAAATGATAAAATTTTGATTATTTAATTATTTTTATCACAGTTTAGGCACATTTGAAATAAATTTTTAAAATACTATGTTGAGACAGGGTCAATGTTTAATAATTTAATGGACGGAAAAAAATTTATAGAAGCAAAAAAACTATTTACAACTGCTCCATGCAATACAACTTCATGAAGTTGTCATAAAAAATTGAAATTCACTAAATGATAATAAAAAAAAAAATAAAGAGTCACAAATTTTGGTTGAAATTTTTTTAATGATACTAAATTGATAAACTATACCGTAACAAAATTTACCTCATTTTCTTAATTACAAATTAAAAAATATTAATTGAAAAAAATATTTTTTTTGATTTAGAAAAATATTGAAGAAAATGAAAATTTTCTCCGCTCACGGAAAAAAAGAAAAATTACATTTTATTAATA